ATGGAATCCAGGAAAAAGTCAGAGAAATACAAAATTAGATTTTTTTTATTTTTGTGAATCGACTAAAACGAGTTTTTTTAGTTATCAAATTTAATTTTTTAAAAGCTCCTTTTTTTAGCTCCTTTTTCTTTTTAGTCTTGAAGCTACTTTTTGCTACGTTTTTAAAATTAATTATCAAGTGTGAACTCTGAAACGAGAATTCTCCAAAAAGGAAAGATGGAAAAATTTTTTGTTTTTAGAAAATCGATAATGATTTCTATCATAAGTTTTTGTGAAAATAGAAAAAAAAATTTCATTTAAACCAGTACAATTTATTCGATTTAAATAAAAAAATATATAATATCTATATGTCACATAAGAATCTACTACTAAATTATTTATTTGTTTTATACATAAAACTTTTACTCGACACAAATAAAATTTTTATTTAAACAGCATAAAAATTTTATTTTATTCAGATGAAATTTATTTGTAACAAATAAAAAGTTTAGTTGACTCTGACCTTTTTTCTACATGTAATTTGCTGCAACTCGATATTGAAAAAAACCAAGAATTGAATTAGCGGAAAATAATCCTAATTCCCTTAATAATCTCCACTATAACAGAGTGGATCTCAGGTGAATTGATAAAAAAAGGTGATAATAAAGTGAAGATAAAGTTTTCTTTTTATTTTTATTTTACACTTTTATGTGCTTCTGTGGAGAGGAAAAATTAGTTCATTTTATAACGTCGATATCATGATCATGTCAAGCATCAGGCAGATAATGTGATAATTGGTTGCTACTAATTGTCGATTACCGACATAAGCTATACCAAAATGCACAATTTCGTTTTACTATTATAATGTAGGTTAATTGCTTATAATACTTTTTTTTTTGAATATAAATTTTTTTTTATAAATCTAAATTGTGAATGTATATATATAGATAAATGAATAAATGCGAGTTTCGAGAAGTTTATTCAGTTCAATTTACAATGAGGCTAAAAACCTAATGAAGAGAAAAGAGGAAAATAAAGGGGATTATTTTTTCGAATTAAATCATTTTAAAGGGATGGAAAAAAGAGATTTCGCTGTAAAAGAATAAAATTTATTTTCAGTCCACTTTTGTCTACAAACATTTATATATTAGAACCGAATATTTTTGATTGAATGTAAGCTTTCAAATTAAGATTTTAAATACTAAAAGTTGTTTGTTGACAATTTTCTAAAAATAAATAATTTCTAATAATCTTCTTTTTTATTATCATTTCGGTTTCAAAATTAGTTATTCACAAAAAAAGTCTGAACTTTTTTTTGTGAATAATTAATTTTTTTGATAGAGGTCCAAAATTATTCTGCAACAAAAATTTGATTTGCAGTAGAAATAAATAAATTTTGTTCGATTTGAATGATTAGAATTTCATATAGAGTCATTTAATGTTCCTAAAGTTCCGAACGAAATTTATTCAAATTTTAATAATAATGGGTCATGTATTGAAAAATAATTTATCTTATTGCTTTTGATGTGTAAAATTTTTTATTAAAAAATAGTTTACAAAGTTTCAAAATATTTAATTTATCTTGTTGCTTTTGATGAGTAATTTTTTGAAAATATTTATAATGAAAAAATGTTCATCTGAACGTTGGAAAATTTTTTTAACATTATTTATAGAACCTAATTTTTGTTGTACATAAATGACTGTAGAAATTATTTTGATGTGAATTTTCACAACATCTTATATCAATTTAAAAGCTTTTTATCAAGAAATATGGACCTTTACCAAAAGTGGTTTTTAGAGTGTTACACAGTAAGAATTATGACTGCTAGTTCAAAGTAAAATTGCTCTTTTAAGCTTTAAAAGGCGCAGTTTGAATTAAAAATTTAAATAGGTACATAGTGTATATAAAAATTAAATACTGAATAAATATTTTCTTTTAAGAAATTAATTTTGTTAAGAAAATATCAATTTTCTTAACGAAAAATTGTAAATCATCCTAAATTAAAAAAATAATTAAAAAATTAAATTAGCAATACATTTCAGCGTAAAATGGTAAACTTAACAAATAAAGTATTCTTATAATAGGATCATTGATTAAATAAAATCTCTGCGAGAAATAAGCATTTCTCTTCAATCATAACTGTTAATGCTGCTGGGGGAAGAAATGAAAAATGAAATTTTTATTGATTGTTAAGAGCTCTTTGCTCACGTAATAATCGCATACGTACGTATATATATATATATCTATATAATATGCATATGAGAGAACGTTTTATTTTTCTATATATAAAAAAGAAAAAAAAATTAGTCCCGTGCCACACGATATACTTAATTTTATCTCGATTGCTTATTCAGGAGTTTTACTTTGTAGCATTTATTTTAAAATCTGATCTTTTTGAATTAAAGAAGAAACTATAAATCACGTTTCTAATGTTTCGGACGTTCAGACGAACGATAATTTTTTTTTTAAATTAAATGATTCACAAGTTTTGAACGCTGAAATGTAGGAAAATTCTTGACGAACTAAATATTTTTGATATAAAATTAAAATAAAAAAATAAATAAAATAAAAATTAAATCAAAAAATACTATTTTGAAAAATCAAAATCAAGTATTTAGAATTTTTTAAATTTATTTAAATTAAAAAAAAATTCATTTATTAGAGCGTTTAAAACATTAGCAGGGTTGTCACAAAAATTTGATTTTTTATTCACCCGACTTTAACTTCTCCGAAATTATATTTAAGATTTCAACTTAATAATTTTTTGTAATTTTTAATAATTTTTAAAAAATGAATTATTTAAACAAAACTAGAAATTTCATCTAAAATAATTCTGAAATCCATTTGTTTAGCGTTTCAATGTCACGTAATTACAATTATTCGAAAAAATTTTCAATTAAACATATTAAAAAATGCGATTAAATACAAAATAATTTCAATGGAAAGTTTTCAAAAACTAGCTTTTTCAAAATTTTCAATTAAAATTATTTAAAATTTAAATTTTTCTGAAATTTTAACTGGAAGCCTTACTTTAATATATTTTTTTAAAATAGAAATTAGATTATTTATGAAATTTGTAAACTCCACTCTTGTAAAATTCAATTATTTTTGGAATTTTTAATTAAAATTATTTGAAATTTAAATTTTCTACAAAGTTAAAACTGAAATCTTTTAAAATTCAATAATTTATTAAAATTATTTTAGACGCAACTCTCTTAAAATTCAATTATTTTTTGAATTTTTATTTAAAATTATTCAGCAAATAATTTATAAATAGTAATTTTATGAAGTTCTTTACGATTTGAATTATTAAAAATAAATTCAATTTCATATTCTGTAAAATTCGATTATTGTCAGAGATAAAAAAATTTAAGTATTAAAACTTGTGTGAACGAATTTTATGTTTATAAAAAGGAAACAAAAAATAATTCAAGAAGAATTAAATCTTGTTAATTATTTCAAAGATTATACTGGAGACAAAATTATAGAATTGTTCTTATGAATTCTAAAAATTTAATACTTTTTCAATATTTTTTATAAAATTCTCTGCTTTTTCCTGATTTTCCTGATTAATTTTACTTTTCCTGCTCTCTACATATGAATCAGTTAAAAATAACTAATTTAGAAGCAAAAAGTCAGTCACTAATTTAAATTGTAATATTTCTATTTTCTACTGATCGTTTAGTTAAAAATAACTTATTGTCAGTTAAAAATAATTGATATTTCTGTAGAATTTTTTAAACTGATTCTATTAGTTAATTTTAACTAATTTTTCAGTCATTTTTTCATTGGCAATCGGTTATTTTTAACTGATTCAGAATGAAAAATAAGTCACTGATTGTTTGTTAAAACTATGATTTTTAACTGATTCAAATTCAGAGATAGTAGACGTTTCACAAGTTTTGAACGTTCAAATGAACGAAACACTTTTTATTAAAAATATTTTCATCAATTACTGATTATTGTAATGAAATTTAAAAACTTAAATATTGTATATGGAGAAACTTTATAATTAATTTTATTCATAGTGACACAAAATATTTTAATAAAAATTTAATTTGAAGATGAAAAAAATAAATTTCGTTCATTTGAACGTTCAGAACTTTATGATCATGATAGTAGAATTTTACTGAATGCCAGTAATTTTTTTTAAATTAATGATCAAGTTGTCGACATTTAATAAAATAGATTCACTGATTGTTAGTGGATTCTGTCAGTAAAATTTTACTGATTTTTTTTAATGATTTGGTAGAAGAGTTTTCATTATACCACACGGAGAGAGAATATAATATTAAATTTTGTAAAAGAATTTTACAATTTAGGGAAAAATGCTGACAAAGCGAAATTTTGATACAAAAAATACCGAACCTTATTAAAACTTATGTCAATTTTAGTATAATTATATCAAATAGCATGAATATTAATTAAATTTTTTTAAATATAATTATACGGAAATTTTCACAAAAGTTTTTAAATTTTAGAATCACGCAGTTTTTCTAAGGATATCAAATTGAGACACTTTTGATTCGCAACACCTTTGATTCCTTTTTTGTGAAAATAATTTTATTACAAAAAAATTAATTAATTTAATTTAATTAACAAAAAATAATTCTACTTTTTTGTCAAAAGGTTGCTTCGCTACATTTTTGATTCCTTTTTTGTCTCAATTTGATATCCTTAGAAAACTGATTTTTTGTCTTAAAATTTCGCTTTGTTGCACTTTTTTCCCAATTTGTAAAATACTTTTCCCTGATCTTTGTCAACTCAGATAAATTTCATGGACATTAATCCAACATGTAACTAAAAATACTATTGAAAATTAAAGAGTAGAAGAATTTTCATTATTTATTTATTGTACAAGTAAAAAGTAAAGAAAAGAAGTAGAAAAAAGAAGAAGAGAATAGAAAAGAGCAGAAGAGAAAAGAAAAGAAAAGTATAGAAGAGAAGAGAAGAGAAGAGAAAAGAAAAGAAAAGAAAAGAAAAAAAGAGAATAATGAAGTAGAAAAATGTTTCCTCGAACCTGTTTGAATTCTTTCCGGAAGTTTTCATTAAGCCAAGCGTAAAGAAAGGGATTGTAACATGTTGAACTCATGGCTACACTGTGCGCAACAAAAAAGCAAAACTTGAAAGGTGGCCAGTCATTGGCATTCGAATAAAAGTCCTCTATAACATTAATAAGATTTAAAGGAAGCCAAGATATTCCAAATATGGCGACCATTGCAATAAGCATTCTATTAGTCCTCCTCTTTCTCTCTCTATCAGCCTCCTCCCTTCGCGCACTACACCCTGGTCTCATTCTAATTCTCGAATTAAGTTTAAGCGACACGAATATATAGCACACAGTTATTACGCAAAATGGCACAACAAATTGTAAAACAGTTGTAATTGAGCTAAATACTCGTCTAAAATGTTCATTCGGCCAAATTTCCTCACACAAATTTTCACTTCTATCCATTTTTCTATATAAACCATATGGCAATGTTAAACCCAGTGCAATAAACCATATACCAACAATAATCATTTGGCAGACTTCAATTTTCATTCTCGGACGAAATGGATAAAGAATGACGAGAAATCGATCAATTGCAATGCTGGTGAGGGTAAAGGTACTTATATAGACGCTGACTCCTTGTGCATAGGGTACCAGACGGCATAGTGTCGCCCCAAATACCCATTCTCCCAGGAATGTGTAGAGTGGTGTGAATGGTACCGCCAGTACGCACAGTAGTATATCGCTGAGTGCCAAATTTGTTATGAGAAAATTTGTCACCGTGTGCATTTGTTTATTTCTTATGACCACGAAACACACTAGGGCATTGCCACAAATACCGAGGAAGAATATCGATCCGTAGAAAATGTAGAAGGTTATTTGCACTTGAATTTTTGATGTGATCTCTTCGGTTTCATTGTAGCTGGAATTGAAGTAGTTTTCGGCTTCTGAATAAGTCATGATTTTGAGGTACTTTTGGAGTTAGTTGAGGGGGTCGAAGATGTGTGCACGAGGAACATTGTGAGTCATGATGGTGAGGGGCTTTTGTTTTGGAACCCAAAGGCACTTTGTTGGGTTTGGTGAAAAATCTTTGGGGGGGTTTTTTGGTGGAGCGAAGTCTACTGACCTAGAGGTTCTGAGTAATGTTCGAAGTAGTCTGCTGAGTGGTCTTCTGGATAGAGTTCTGACTAGTTTTCTTAGTCTTCTGACTAGACTTCTAACTTGTCTTCTGACTAGTCCTCTAAGTAGTCTTCTGATTAGACTTCTAAGTAGTCTTTTGATTAGACTTCTGAGTCTTCTGACTAGTCTTCTAACTATTCTTCTAAATAATCCACTAGGTGGTCTTCTAAATAGTCCTCTAAGTAGTCTTCTAACTAGTCTTCTTACTAGTCTTCTAAATAGTCCTCTAAGTAGTGTTTCTAACTAGTCTTCTTACTAGTCTTCTTAATAGTCCCCTAAGTAGTCTTCTGAATAGTATTCTTAGTCTTCTGACTAGTCTTCTAATTAGTCCTCTAAGTAGTCCTCTAGGTTGTCCACCAACTAAACTGAGAAATTAGCGGAAGTAGGTGTTAGTTTTTTTTGTTACAAAAAAACTAGTTTGTCCTTCAACCGAAGTTAGAAATTAGTGGAAGTGGAGGTTAGTCTTTTTTTATCCAGTGGAAAAGTGTTCGTCACTTGAATTTGCAATCCGTGCGTATTTGAAAAGCGTTGTAAAGTTAAGATCCGTAAACCATCGATCCCGCCTGGACACCTGTTGAAAAGTCGAGCTCTTTCCTATACGCTGTGAGCTTAACAGATGTCTCTATTTTTACAGTATTTTTATTTCTCCTCAATTTGAATTTGCAAAAAAAAGGATTACTTCCTAATTAGTGGCACCATTCTCAAGCCTATTTTTCAAAAATCAAAGCACTATTTTTTCCCTAATTTTATTCCTTGCTATCAATCAAAGTTTCTTTTATCAGATTACTTTCAACTTCTCTCGACTTTTAGCAAAATTAAAAATTTGCAAACATCTAACAGTATTATTGTATCGATCAACAATCAACAGTTTATTATTTTAATGTTCTTTGATTATTATTTTCTTTTCTGATTTAATTTCTTTATGATTTAATTTTGATTCGAAGGGAAAAATTTTCGGATTTCTCGAAGATGTTTCTTGCTTTTCTCGTTTTCCGGAGAAAGGTTCGCCTCGCGCTGGATAGCAGACCGCGACTGAGGACTTCGGAAGTTTAACAGAAAATAAGAGAGTGAAAGAGTCGGTAACTCGCGCAGGCGTCGGCATTGTCTCTACAACGAATAGAGCCAACACTACTACTGCCATGAGTAAAACATCAATTCTGTCGATTCTCTCTCGCTCTCTCCCCCTTCGATAAGAGAGCTTTTCTCTTTGCTTGATATCTATTTAATAGATCCCTGGGATAAAGCTCTAAGTGGAATTGAAGGCAATAAGAGATTTTTGAAAATGAGAGATCAACTCTGATGAAGCTATCAAAGCAGAAAAAAGAAGCAGAGGGGGAGGTGACAAAATCACCACAAGAGAAGGCAAAAATAAATATATATATACATATATATGTATAAGGGAAAATTAATTATTTACTTTATATATACAACTTTGTGTCTAAATTGATATTTATAGCGATTGACGAGAAAATAAAAGTGGATTAGAGAAAAAGGTATAATATTCAATGAAAATTTATTCTCGTAACAATTAAATGGGTAGCTAAGTAATTGTCTTTTAGCGTTCTCTCTCTCTCTCTCTCCCTTTCTCTCTCTCATAGTAATTTTAATTCTATATCCTTGGAATTAGAAATTATTTCGATATAAAGAGATTTTTCTGCACTTTGATCAATTTTTAAAACTGGGATTTATTTTTAAAAAGCGGAATGTAATAGCGTACAACGAGTTTGATTTTTCGTATCATTTTTATTAAAACTTTATTTACTTTTGTATAATTACTTTCGTAATTGAACCGATAGGAAGCCGAGACTATTTAACTGGTTTTGAAACACTTTTTATTTCTCAAAAAAAAGTTACTAAATAATCTGAATTGATTTTTTTTTTCATTAACAAAAATTATTTTTTTTAAAGTTTTGAACTTTTAAATGAAAGGAAATCGTTTTCTGTAATTAAATATTTTTCAAAATATTCACGATACTAAACTAAAAAATGTAATTAGAATTAAACATTAATTTAGTTAATTAATTTTTTAATAGAATAATTTTTGTAGAAATAAAACAGACTAAATAATTATTTCAAAACATTACAAATAAAATACTTAAAAAAAATCAACTATTTTTAATAGAATTTTAGAGAATTTCAATTATTTCAAAGAATGTTAAATAAAATTTTTAAAAAGTTCAATTATCTTTAATAAAATTTTTGAAAATTTCGATTATTTCATTACAGATTGAATTTGATTTGATTTGATTGATTGAAATTGAATTTTTAAAGAATTTTAATTCAATAATTAGTATAAGTATTAGAGTTTTACAAAGAGTCACAATTAAATACATTCACATGTAATTTAATTACAATAATAATAATAATAATAATAATAATAATTGAATTTTTTTAAGAATTACAATTCATTTCATAAATTATAATAATTGAATTTTACAAACATATTTTACAAGTGTGTTTGTTATTGTTAGAAAATTGAATGTTTTCAAACATGTAATTGAATATTTTTCAATTAATAGAATTTTTCAATAATTCTGTTAAAAATAATTGAATTTTGTAAGAATTTTGTTTAAATAATTGGAATTATTTTAAATTCCATTAACAATAATTAAACATATAAAATACTTGAAAAAAAAACTCAATTATTTCTAACAGAATTGAAAAAAATTAATTATTTAAAAAAATTGTTAGTAAAATTCTTAAAGAATTCAATTATGTTTAATAGAATTTTAGAAAAATCCAATTATTTTGAAAATTTTTAATTAATTACTTTTAAAAATAGGATTGGAATATTTTAAAAACCTTTCTTTCAGAATTTCAAATAGAACTTTTTAAAGCTTCAATTTTTTAGAAAAGTTTTAAATTTAAATCTTTTTAAAATCAAACAGTTTAAAATTTAATTCTAACTGTTTAAATTTCATTAGTTTAATTAGTTTAGTTAAAAATTAATACATTTTTTGTAATTCAAGTATATGAAAACTGCATTAAAATTTTTAAAATTCAAGGTTTTTAACAATATTTCCGGATAGTAAAAATAAGAAATTTGTGTAGTAATTCTAGAAATTTAGTATTTTTCCAGCACTTTTGATAAATTTGCCTGACCAATTTTATTTCTTGTTTTGAATGTTCAAATGAAGGAAATTTTTTGCCAATATAAATATTTTTAAAATTTACTGACTGTTTATGAAAAGCAAAAACAGAATTATCAACATTTCGAATCTTTATAATTTATTCCTTTAATACGGGACACAATATTATTACAAGAAAATTTAAATTTCAAGAAGAAATTTGAATAAATTTTGTTTGGAAATTTAGAGATAAAACATTTTTCCTTCTTTAACTATTTTTCTGAATTTAATAAAAAAAAAAATGGAAAATAATGTTTGTAAAATATTTTTATCTAGTTCAGAATTGATTTTTTAAATAGGGAAAGTTTTTTTTAAATAAAATTAATAATCTATATTAATAGGGTAGAGTGGGGTAAAAAAGCCACATTTTTACTTTTGATGCTGTAAAATCTGTATTTAAAATTTTTTTCTCAAATTTCCAATTGTTATTGAAAGTTTAGTTATTAAGCTTGAAAATTCTTGACGGAAATATTTTTTATCTCATGAAAGGACTAAGTTATAAGAGTTTTACGAAAGCACTGCAAGTGGCTTTTTTGCACCACCTGGTGGGGTGAAAAAGCCACCCTACGATTTTAGCAAAACACGTTATCAATTTAGGTATTTTTATATTTTTCCTTTATTTATATGACAAATAGTCTTATTTGAAAAATATTTTAATAATTATGAAAGAGTTTTTAGCAAGGAAAATTGAAAATTATATTAAATTTACCTGTTTTCGATTTGCACTGCCAATTTTTCGTACCTTTTTTAGAAGTTCTCTTTAAGTTTTACCACAGATAACATATTTCGTTGCAACCGTTTATTCATTGTTTATTTTTTAAATGCACTTTGAACTACTTTTTCGTCGTGTTTAATTTATTTTATTAAATAAACACGAGAAATTTTGTAAAATAAGAAGGTTAGTTTAAATAGAAAACAAGTGAATTTCACAAAATATTCAATGGATTTTTTGCCCTGGCTTTTTTACACCCAAGACCAGTTATTAAAAAAAGCAAAAATAAATTGTCAATTCAGTTCAATTTCTAAAAATTAACATTGTATACGTTTTCGGTATACTTTTCTCCTTATGTACAAACATTTACTTTTACTATTCGTTCACTTAATCAGATTGTAATATGTTTGAAAAGTTCACCAAAATGTTTTCAAAAAAGCAACAAAAAATTAAAATTACAATAAAAACAATATTAATCTAGGTACAACATTCAAATTAGATTCAAAAGTTGCGTATTACCTAATAGTATTTATATTCTAAACAGCTGATAAATCGGCTTAATAGTTTTTAAATAAAACTCAAATGGCTTTTTTACACCATGGCTTTTTTACCCCACTCTACCCTATTAATTAAAGGTAATAAAATTTTTAGTAAAGTACAAACTAACTAAGGTAGAATCTGATCAACAGTCGAATCAAAAGTTCGTCCAATATCATAATTATTCCTGTTTCGAAATGAAACAATTAATTCAATTTTAAGTTACTTTTAGTTTAAGGGTAAAGAATTTAATTTTTAACATTTCCAACAATTAAAAGTTACATTTATTTATAGAAATTACAATTTGAAAAATGTTTCCAACTAACGAAATTGTAGTTTTTATTTAACGCAACTTTTAGTCTGTTCGAAATGATGAAAATTTAATTCTTTACCTTTCTAATAAA